AACTATATGTATTTAATTATGTTTAAAGAATCATACATATAATTAGTATACACACACACACACACACACACACAATATGTAATAATTTTATATATTGTATAATAATATATGTTTTAACAATACTTTTGACAATACTTTTAACAATACTTACGCTTTTCCTTTTGATAAAAATTAAACAAGAAATTTACTTATCGCGATTTTTTAATTTCTCATCGACTAATTCTATAACTAAATCTTAAATTTAAATTCCATTTAAATAGAATTCACTTGTAAAAGTAAATATAAGATGTATCATTTATTTTTTTAAATTTCTTTATTATAATTTTTATAAATTCTCTTTTTTTTTCTTAAGTCGATTTTTTGCATTTATCCATTCCTATTTTCACAGCAAATGACACACTGTGTCCGTCGATATTCAACCATAGAGACGTTGGTACACTCATTCGTTTGGCTAATCTACATTCTTCATCCATAAAGAGGGAGAGAGTACCTGTTATATCAAATACTTTCATCGTTTTGTTCTACTTTGTTTTGTCTCTCACAATTAAAATTCGATCCGCGACTGGCGCCAGAATATTATTGCTGCTCCAGTATCCCTTCTGTTCTCTTCTTTATCATCCACCTAGAGATTTCGTTCTTTTATATACGATCGAACATATCCATCGAGATGCATCGCCGTTTCTGAATTTTAATTCACACACCGCGATTTTTTATTATGAAGCTGTCTCCTGTTGCTCTTCTATCTACTTTCTTCGAAGCAACAAGTGCGATGCGTAACCACAATTCTGATAATATAATCGCTCTATATTTCAAATGTATAACTTTATCGTAAAATTGTTTTAAAAAGGATTCTGTACTAATTATATGGAGAAAGTGACTTCAAGTCAAATTGATTGAAACTGTGATATTTTATAAATTATGAGATATTGATCAAAAGTTTTTTTAGGCAAAACTGGACAATAAAAATTAGATAGTTTCTGCTTCAGCAAAATAGCAATCATTTAAATATTGCTATTTTGGATCATTCTGAAAAATATTACCTACAGTACAGAATTTGTTATAACTATATAGACATTTATATATATGTATAATCATACATATGTATAGTCATTATTGATGTGTGTGTGTGTCTGTCTCTCTCTCTCTCTCTCTCTCTCTCTCTCTCTCTCTCTCTCTCTCTCTCTCTCTCTGTATTTATTCCACGATATATATTCATAGGTGCTATATAAAGTGTTTAAGAGATTATTTCCAACTTTTTAATATATTTAATTATAATCACCGATTCACGTGTTATCGTAAATCCTCGTAAAAAAGAAAAATTGATGATTCGCGTCAAGTAATTATTTGCCGATTTATTCTAGATTTACCTATCGTTTTGCTTACAATTAGTGGACAGGAAAGACGCCCGCGATCTTTATTGAGACATCACCGATTAGTATTAAATAAACATGATTGATCACGCATGATGATTTCATTCTCGCAAAAAAATCATTCAGTGCGTGCACGTGTCCGAATTCGCTATCATATAACTGTTATAATAAATAAGCATCGATACGTGCATTGTTGAAAGACGCGATCATGCATTCCAAAACACTCATATCTAAAATAGATTATACAATTCAGAGGTCCAATTTTTACGATTGGTGATAAAAAAATAATACAGAAAAAAGTTAAACATTTTAATGGTACTTTCTGAAGGATTATTTTTTCACAAGTACAACAATGCACATATAAAGTGCAATTGCATCTTTCCTATAAAATAAATCATATAATTTTTTGTAATAAAAAGAAATTTTTATTATTTTACATATAAAGATTTTCAGGTAAAGTTACCTTACAAAAGGGAATATATTGAATTATTTTATACTAACATACTATTATTAGGCAAAAATTATTTCATAAAGTGTGTGTTTACGGATATGACATATATTCAAAAATCGTGTTTCCTTGATTGTTCAATTTTTACTTCCTAAATGGAGTTAGACATAAATAATTTTTCGTATAGGTATAAGAATACATTCATTGTGGTTATAAGTGGAATGTAAATGTTGTATCAAATAAGTAGATAATAAATATAATATGAATAAATAAATAAATACTGAATACCAAATTTTTAGAAGGTGGGGATTTATAATGTTAGCTCCACCAATAAATTGAAATAAACATAATTTATAATTTAGAGTTGTACAGGGAGAAGAAGGATACGCGAAAGTGGAAGAGTAGGAGACCAAAAAGAACGATTTTACCGTAGTGCCTTTGAATTAATTATTTGATGCCGCTCCGTATGAATAATTCAGGTTTCGGCGAACGGGATGAATCTTGACGGGAGGAACCTTTACGAGAAGCAGAAACCGGAAAATGGAATTGCCTTTTGATTTATCAGCCGAGCGAAATGTGTACTTTTTCAATTTTTCCGCAAGAAATTCATACAGTTTCGGATTCTTTGATATTTTTTTCTTGTATTTGTTATACAATTAAATGAAGCCTAGAATGATCATGAATATTGCACTTATAATACCATTCTTAACAACAATTAAACATAGTAATTATAGTTATTGATATTAATTATTATACATCTTTTCCATTAAAATAAGTTACTTTTTTATTACAAAAAAAATTAATTTTTCTTGTACAAAATGCTCTGAAGTTTTATATTTGTGTCTCTGTTCTGTATTTGTAATCATCTTTTATCAGAAAGTTCTTATAATGATTGTAAGAAACATATAAAATTCCATAATTATAATTAGTTAACAATACTTAAATTATTGGCAAATAATTGTTGAGAAAGATCATGTTTTTGAAACGTATATATGTACATTTATAATGAATTATACAATTTCGAATTCAGGCATATAATTTTTACGATTGATGATAAAAAATGGTACAAAAAAAAGAAACATTTTAATGATGCTTTTAGAAGGATTATTTTTTTTGCAAGTATAATGATGCACATTTAAAAGCAATTACATCTTTTCTATAAATTGAATCACATAATTTTTTGCAATAAGAAAATTTTATATCATTTTACAAATAAAAGTTTTGAGGTAAACTCTCTTCTCTCTCTTCTTCTCATCTCTGAGAAGACTCTCTTCTTCTCATCTCAAGAGAAGAAATATTTTGAATTATTTTAATATACTATAACATAAAATAGATTTCTCTTATAAAGTAACTACATCTTTTCTATAAATTGAATCACATAATTTTTTACAATAAGAAAAGCTTATGTCATTTTACAAATAAAAGTTTTGAGATAACCATCTCAAGAGAAGAAATATTTTGAATTATTTTATTCTAATATATTATAGCATAAAATAGATTTTATATCTCATAAAGTAATTACATCTTTTCTATAAATTGAATCACAATTTTTTGTAATAAGAAAAGCTTATGTTATTTTACAAATAAAAGTTTTGAGATAAACCATTTCAAGAGAAGAAATATTTTGAATTATTTCATTCTAATATACTTATAGCATAAAATAGATTTCATATCTCATAAAGTGTTTACATTTATGAATATGGCACATATTCAACAATCCTTGAATATATAAATCTCTACACTCTAGATGGAGCTAGACGTAAATAGTTTCTCGTATATAAAAATACATACAATTGGTTATAAATGGAATTGATAAATGTAATGTTACCTCTAAAGCGACCGAATTGTTTCAGAAATTTTTGGAAGGTGGGGATTTGTAATGTTTGTCCTACCAATAAATTGAAATAAACATAATTTATAATGTAAAGCAATTAATGAACATCGGACAAAGATGATTAGAGCAGAAATCAAACTTGAATTTTCAAATTTTTAGACTGCTATGTTTAACTATAAAGTTATATGCAAGAAGAAGAATATAAATGGATATTTTGTCGTCTCTATTTTCTTATTAGCTTTTAATTATTTTAATTTAATTTTAAATAATTATTTTTACAAATTAAATCTACGTTTATAAAAATCTTAAAATTTGAAAGCAACATTTTTATAATTGTACTTGCTACAGCATATTTTTTTTATGATATTACATATATATTATTTAAGCTGACGTAAAAAAAGAGTAGTATTCAATGTAAAATCTTTAGTATTAAAATATGCTTCATTATCAATATGATTAATATCAATTACAGAGTGATATTAATTTCTTTATATAATTTATGTATTATTCATGTGTAATGTTTTTTAAATATTTATATACTTTTAACATACACGCACAATCAAAATATGCGAATCAAAATATCATAGCAAGCAAGAACTTTTTTACTTAATTTTTTGAAAAATTATTTGTAAATTTTTATTTTAAGCAGTAGTTTTTGAGATATAAGAGTTTAAATTTAGCTAATTATAGATTAGTACGCGCATGAAGTGCGCAACCACTAACTGTATATATAGTCACATTTTATTTAACTTATTTATTTCTGTTTTTGTCGTACGAACGTATTACAATATTGAAATGCCTTATCGAATAATTGATTTATTACATGAGCCAATTTCTATGTCGAGCGTGTTCATAACATATTAATTATTACCGCAGTTTGGAATACGAATAACATTTTCTTTCTTTATTAATTTAACATGTACCGAATGTGTCGTGATTCATGTTCATCGCTCGTTGAATTCTAATGTTTCATGTATTAAATTGTAAATCGTGAAATTATTGAAAAAATTATCAATATATATTCTTTTTCCATGTATTTACTGGACATAAATAAGTTTACATGCAGCAATTTAACTTCACAGATGAGGTGCAATAATTTATATGTTGCATTTAAATTATTGGACACAAGCTTAGAATTGTTTGACAAGTAATATTTTGCAAATAAATGTGACGTCAATAATACATACATATTGAATTATATATAATTTAAAAAATGTACAGAGTGTTTCCATTATATCTAAAATTACAACAATCTGGGAGACAGGAATATCAAGAAATGAGGAATTGAAGATTTAATTGTTCACCAGAGAGCTGCAACTTAATTCCCGCGATTTTGTTTTTGTTTCAGGATACTTCGGCAAGTATTTGAACAAGTACAACGGCTCGTACATACCGCCGGGATGGCGGGAATGGGGCGGCCTTATAATGAACTCCCGCTACTACAACTACAGCGTCAACATGAACGGCAAGAAGATAAAGCACGGCTTCGACTACAGCCGGGACTATTATCCGGATTTGATAGCCAACGACAGTGTGGCTTTCCTCAGGCAGAGCAAACACAATTTCGCCCGGAAGCCGGTAATGTTAGTCGCGAGCTTTCCGGCGCCGCACGGACCGGAGGACTCGGCGCCGCAGTTCTCGCATCTCTTCTTCAACGTCACCACTCATCAGTGAGTACAACGGACTTTCTGACTGTCTACTCCGATTTTTTTTTTTTTTTGCGAGTGCGACGTTATACCCCTGACAGCGGAACGCACGCGGTCCGATTCGTACCGAAGACTTTTTTTGCAAACCGGTTCCGTTTCTCTGCTGCCGTTCGCTCGCTGATCAGCGATAAATTTGCAGGACAGCACATGTGTACACATGTCCAACCGTGAACGGAATGTCGTTTTCCGATCGAGAGAATTGTAAATAAGCGAATTATATGCCGTGGCATCTACTTTACAAAGGTAATAAGCGTACTTTTATTCGGTTTTGTCGTCCCATTTCTTTACGTTTGACATGAAATTTATAATTGGAGCGAAGTTTCGCCAGTTGATTGAATTCGATAATATTTGCAATTTACACGTATAAATATGAATCAAAATACACGTCATTTTACGTCGTTGTGTGAAACAAGAATTAATTTAATCCTTTGATTTCTAATTTTGAATGTTCGTTTTACATGATCGATCGGATCTCAGAAAAGAAGAAATTAAAAAACACGTACCATTTGTTTTCAAAACGCAAGTCGTAATGCGCGATCTATTCAAGTTAGACATATTAAAGAATTAACTTCGGGAATAAAGAGTTTTGTCGCAAATTGTGTAACACAATATTAATTGTACCTATATTGTGTGTACGTGTTTCGTCCTTCTTACATAATCTTTTCGCGAGAAATCCACTTCGCGATTCTTTCTGCTTCACTGTTTTACGTCGTTTATGCAGTCTTCTCTTTGAGAACCGCCCGTCCCGAGAAGGTTTACATTTCTCTTTCTCCGGTTGCACTTCACGATGACTTCATCGTCCCATCATTGAAATGGAATTCAACAAGCAAACTACGACGACGAAGTCAAGCACGTCTTTATGTGCTACGCTGTTCGTGCGACTCGATAGATACAATCTTTGGGAACTCGGTGATTCCAGTGAAAAAAAATGACGAGAGTCAGTTCTCTCTTACGGAGAGCCAAGCCAAGGGGCAGTTCTGTGTACGCGGTTGGCATTCTCGACGTTATTCCGGGTCGCTTGTCGTCGATATCGCGAGCCTGGCTCGTTCGAATCGTCGCTGTCATGACGACCGCAACTTCATCGAATCCAGTTCGCGCGCGCGCCTATTATATTTTTCGCTGTTGCGAACCGCATGCTCTTCCATTCGCGTCCGATAACGGACGACGGGAAACGCGCGCGCCCCAACAATAAGGATTGTCGTCGCGCGGAGGAGAGAAAAAAAACGAGAACGTGCGGGGGCGACCTTCCCCAAGCTCGACGTCGACGAGCCGGACCCCACCGCGCTTTTCACTCCTGCCGAACAATGCGGCGCGTGTTCGGTCCGCGTCGGAGGCCGGTAAATTCGCGCGGTTTATCTCCGCTCGCGTGAAAATCCACATCCGGCCCATCCGGGATGCTGGGATGGGAGGGGAACGGGGACGCGGGCGATATCGAGCGTCAGCGCGCGTATACAACGCGGTCCTAGACCGGATAGACATCGCGTCAAATGATGGAGTGCCCTAGACCACCATGAGCGCGCTCTTACGAGCCCGTCGCGCGAGACAGGTATTATTACGCACACCTGTGTCTGCGGGAAGAGAGGAAAAAAAAAGCGACACGCTGTGTCGCAGAGGCACGGGACAAAAGTGGAACGATAGCGGACGTGCGAGCTGTCCCTCGATGAGGCTTCATTTGTCGTTGTCTAGTCATGGCAAAACATATTGATCACGCAACAAGAGTAGATTCGAAAAATGACTCTTCTAATGGCAATTCAAGATTCTGGCAACGATTCTAAACAATCTGTAAAACGTTTGTTAAGATACTTAAAGCGGTGTATTTCCGATTTTTTTTTTTTTGGCAGTCTCATTAGAATTACTTGTATAGCTTTCGAATGAAAGGGAGAGAGAAATATACCGTTTGCGGCGAGTGCTAAATTAATTTATTAGCACTGTTTATAGACTGACAATGAGTCTCGTTGCAAGCTTTCGCGTGCCGCTGTTGTGCAAATTTCCAGCGCGTGAATTTCGCGTGACACGAATGTTGAGAAAACAGCGACGTTGCAAACGCATTTGTCCTCCGCCAGGAACGAATAAAAGGAGCTCCTGAGGCCGCGTGCACGTCTGGTGACGGCGCGCGATTCATTATCGGATTTCTAAAACACGGAGGACAGAGGGAAAACTCGAAATTTCATCTTGTTTTGCTATAAAGGAGCGGAGCTTCGCTCCGGATGATTTATCGCGCTTGCTACTTCGCTCGTCATCGCGAAGACGCGAGAAGTTTAGTTTGCTTAACAATTCGTTAATCACGAGTGTCTAGAACGTTAATTACTTCTAAAGTGGAATATAAGCAAGAGTTTTTCGATCTAAAAATACCAGGGACATAAATTATATTAATGTTATTACGGCAAGAATCACGATGTAATTCAAGGAAAAAAGACGTTAAACTTTTTATTTGTGTACTTTTGAAAAATCGTGAATATTGAAAATTGCGAAATCAATTTGACACAATTTTCGGGAGAGTTTCGATTTTAAGATCCTTTTTGTCCCAGAACGCTACATTCCCGAGTTCAATATATGTATTTTCCCTTGCAAGCCCACAATATGTGCCTGTAAAACTTCATTGTCTGGCTCCGGACTCTCGATTGTGAAAATTTCCGGCGGGATTGGGAACGATTGTTCGACAAGTGTCATTCTGAAAATTCTATTTCTCGGAAAATGACTCGTAATACTCGAAAACTACCAAGTGAAAATTTAGGGTTTATTTGCACAAAAGTTGTTCGAGACTTGAAACGGGAAGTTGCACATTAAACACACATCATTGAGTGAAAAATATCTGCGACACGGAATATATCATCGCACATGCTTCCGCGAAATTGCTTAACGCACCTCGGACGTTGCAGATTGTATTTAATTACGACGCGACATTACGGCCATTTACGCGATGGTCGGCAGCGAGCGTCGGCCGGCGTTTTAATACCAAGGTTTTCATTTTCGTGCGCTCGTACCTCACGGCGTTCCCGTGCCGTGTCACTCAAAAGCTAATCGACAGAAATTAATGTGTCGGGCGGCATGCCATGGTAACGTGCTTTCAGGACGCTTTTATCGGTGCGCCTTTAAGCAGTCGCCAGCAGGCCGGGTACTAATCTAATTCCCTCTCGATCAAAAGGTGTTAAGTGCATCGCAGGATAATTATTATAAATTAATAATGGGTTTTGATGATAGTTTGATGGGGTAATAGCTTGGCAGTGTAACGTCTATGTTTATCTGACTGTAAAGTTTCTCAACTCGTTAGCAAGTATCCCTTTTTCTTTTTCTTCAAGAGAAAAGAAGTCTGGAGCGTCCGTGTGATTGAAATGTTATCCTGCAGTTTTCCAATTTCGTTCTCCAATTATGTACACGATCTTGTGTGAGACGTCGATATTTGGAGCAATTGTAATCGTATAATTTTAATTGTAATTAATCGCAATCGCGTATAATAAGCGTGCTTACAATATGAAAATGGAAACTTATTGCAGCATCATAAGATCCGTTTACAATCCCGTAAATAGACGAGTGTTAAAAGATTACACATGTAAATTTATAGCCTTGAAGTTTAGTTTGGCCTCCCTACGCAACTTCTTGAGCGTTAACTCGCTCGACGCGACGGATCTTCGAGACATCGGACACAGGTATAGTTCGATTACTTATGCATATGATTATGCATACGCGTGTGCGTAAATACGTCGTGCGTGGGTTAATATCGGTGTTTTGTATATCGTTGTACATTAACAAAGTAACGTGTTTCGTAAACGTGATCGCGCATCTTTTTGGGCTACAACACATTTATGATTGTACGTCATTCAGTATATTTAAATTATAAATTTTGTGAATTCGAAAAAATAATAAAATCTTTGTTAATATAATTAATATGACAAATATAATATATATAATGACTGAAAGTGTTAAAAATTTTGTTTTAATCCAAAAATATTTTGCTTAATAAAATTATATTTATTATAAAGAATAACAATTTCTAATTTTTGCCAATTCTGGAACATCTATAATATAATAATATATAATATATATGTATATTAATATAATAATATATAATTTATTATATGTATATATAATAATGTATATAATATATATAAAAAAAGCAACTCGGGTTAAAATACACTTCTTTTAGACAAAAAATTGCAATGTGATAATTAAATACGTACACGTAATCGATTCGACCATCGTTTTGCGGGATGTTTGCACTTTCCATCCTTAATTTGTCCGTGTCATTAAATCACACGCTTCTTCTTTAGATAAAAAAAAGAGAGTTGCGCGAAGATAAACGAGGATATAAGAGAGCAAGCGATGACACTTGTCTGGGTGTAAATATAATTCGCAGTGTCTCGCGGGCGAGTTAAGTGGTCATGGGGCGAGACGCAGAATAGGCTGCAATTAAGGAGTCAAGTTGAGACGAAACGAGCGGCTTATATGTGCTACACTATAGAGACGCGATGGGCAGCATTTTCCATTTGAGATTGATGCGATCGTCTCTTCCTGCTTATTTTTGAATTTCCGGTTTGCAGAAAAATAGTACCACAGTTTATGCAAGATCTCGTTAGATCCAAATATAGATTCTAATATATAATTTATGTACTATAAAAAATTCTCACGTATCTCTCCGCATCAGGATCGATTACGATATCTATATTTACAGTCATTTATGCGATCGCGCGTGTTGCGTATCTTGTATTAAATCTGCGTAAAGCATAGAGAATTTATGTAAACGATCGAAAGCAAAAAAAAGAGGGGTGCGCTATTCTTTTGCTCTGATTAAATATTTAGTTTTTATTCCCACCTCTCAAAAATATCTGTTGTGTTTTCAGCCATGATACACTTAACTAACTAAATTTTTTGATAAATATGTATTATATTATAACCGAGATATAATAAATATATCGTATAGATATAACTTAGTGTATGATATACGATACATATAAAAAATAAAAAGGAACGACAAAGAAGAAATCCATTTAATGATATCTGATTTCCTATAATATGTTATTTTTTCCGCAGATACATTTTGTAAAGTCCAATTGTATTTACTTTCATTTTTTAAACGGAACATTTGACAAAAAATGAATTTTTTCGTCATTTATCGTTTAAAAATGTCGAAATAAAGTAATCTAAGAGAAAATATGCTAAATTATTTTTGAGTTATATATAAGTATAAGTTACGCTGGATGCATACAGGACGTGGCAACGCTTGTCGCGCGACGGAAGTTGGCGTAGCCAATCAATTTACTGATTTTCTTTTACGCTTTTAGAAAAACGACATTTTAATTATATTTTATTCTCTACGACGAAGATATATTACATATTTCGTATGTTTATACACATTCATAGATGATATGCATATCCAACAGTCGTGTTTCCTTGAATGTGTCAATGTTCACACTCTACCTAGGTGGAGTTAGATATAAATAATTTCTCGTATATGAAAATACATATAATTGATTATAAATGGAATTAATAAATGTAATGATTCGAAGTAAATCTAACGGATCGACGGCTCGCCGCACTGGTTCCTAGTGAAAATCGCGATTTTCAATAAGTTTTTGGAAGGTGGGATTTGTAATGTTCGCCCCCATCAATAACTTAAATAAACATAATTTATAGTGTAGAGTTGCAATTAATGAACGTGAGGTAAAAATGATTAAGGCAGAAATCAAACTTGAAGTTTCAAATATTTGAATTGTTATTTTTAACAATACCGTTACGCAAGAAGTATAAATGGATATTTTTTGCCCCTATTTTCTTATTAGCTTTCAGTTATTTTAATGTAATTTTAGATAGCGTATATTATTACACATAATGTATTACACATTATAAATTAAATTTATGTTTATTATAAAAATCTTACAATCTAAAATTTTCCAATACTTTTATTATTATTAATTGTACACTCGCTCACAGAAAGATTGCAACACTTTTTTTAAATCGTTTTTGGAATACAGTCTGTTTACCGAGTGATTGGTTCCTACCAATGGATCTAATCAATTATGTTCCATCGCTTCACAAGAAAACTGCATTTCAAAACCCATCAAAATAAAAGTGTTGCAACCTTTCTGTGACCGAGTGTACTTGCTATAGCACTTTGTTTTGTGATATATTATGTTATTTAAGCTGAAGTAGAAACAAATGCAAGTATTTAATGTAAAATCTTTAGTATTAAAAGTTTCCTTATTATCAGCAGGATTAATATCGCAATTATTTATGTAATTTATGATAAATTAGATAAAAATATTGAAGTAAAGTCCTCCCGAGGAGAGATTACTCTTTGAGTTATTTTATATTTTATTCTAATATACTACGCGCGACGAAGATATATTACATATCTCGTAAAGTATATAAAGTTCCTTTAAAATTATTTTATTCTTTATGTTACTAATTAAATGGACTATATGAATAAATATGTAAAATCTTGTGTTCTTTTCTCAAGAATACATTTAAATGTAGTATATTATTTCTATTTTTTATCTGTTTATTTTTCTTGAAATTCGAAACATGTGTGTAATCGATAACTTGTTTTCACTATATGAAAATCCGTCAATAGTACAAAGGTCCTGCGTGGCGGTATGAGCGCTTCCAAAGGACATGAAGGAAGGCGAAGGGCCAATTATCCGTAATTTCGTGTCTCGCGTAATTGGAGGAGGAGAAAGAGGCGGCGACGACGGTCCGTCTCGAGTATACCCATCTATGATGCTCACTCCGCCGTCCCATCGACGATCTCTCGCTCCGGCCACGAGGGATTAATTCAATTTCGGTCTAGCTGTCAAGGATTTCTAGGATGAAACTGTGTTACACGTTCCAAAATTCAGACCGGTTCTTGTTAACACCTCGCAATCGGTGGCTCGCGATTGTGATTGAGGACGGCGACACGCGGCCACCCGAGATTTCGCGACATAGCACTGAATTAGTCGCCGTGAATTTCTTGCACACGGAAAGAGTGGATCACGTTAGAGTGGACCTTATTAAATTAAAAATAAATTATTTTTTATATCTTGAATATCACTAAAACCGGATATTGGAAAGCTGTTTGATGTAACGTGATCTCTCTTGCTTGAACACAAAGACCATTATGGGCATTTTGTGAAATATATATATCTAGAACTTCTATAAAGGAAACTCTTTCGCATATTTGAAAGAAAACAATTATAACGGTAATTTTTTTAGCTGTGCGTTGCAGATTATTTACATGGCAAACAATAAATTCTTTATATAAATAGTCTTTGCACTTCACGTTTTCTAGCACAGTATAAATACATGATCTGTCCCAAAAATAATGAGACTATTTTTGACGGCCTCATCAGAATTGTCGTGGAGTGAATCTACTGGACGGGGCCTTTGGTACGAGATGTCAGGTATACAGTCTGACCCTTTTCAGTTGCTTTCGAATTTTCCTAGCAGTCGATACTGTCAGCAAAGTGCGTTGTAATTTATTTTTGTGTCACGGGCGAAAATGCAGCATATAGTCTTGAGCAGCGTTACGCGATCAAGTTCTGAAGACAGAACATCGTCCTCATAAGCTGTTCTTAACATTTCCAACGTTTCGGAACCAGATTTTCCCAGTTTCAGAATTTGATGGCTGCGATCGAACTGTGCTGAATTTTTGCCCGCGACAAGACACGAAAGTTACAACGCACTTTGCTAATGGTATCGACTTCTGAAAAGGCTCGGAAGCAACTGAGAAGGGTCAGACTGTATACCTGACATCCCGCATCAAAAGCCCCAATAAATCCATTCTCAGACAATTCTGATTGGGCCGTTAAAAATAGTCTCATTACTTTCGGGACAGATCATGTACTTGCAATTTAACTAACGGTCCAGGTATCGTTATTTATCGATATCAAAATCAATCTTTCGATTATTTAGATTTGTATTCTAATATAAATTTTCCATATTATATCTTATATTGATAGTCATTAATTATTTTTCTATTAATTATTCTGATAAAAAGTATCAATAAATAATAGCGATCTTAAATTATTTTAATGTTCCATACAATACATTTTATTTCATTTTTTGTTTAATAAGTTTGTAATCTATACATGTATTAACGAGCATTAAAGATAGAGATTTAAATTCTGACTAAACTCTGTCGGAAAATGTTTAAAACAACTGTATACATTATAATCTATGTTTATTTCAATTTATTGATGGGGCAAACATTACAAATCCTTATCAAAAAATTTGAACCCTTAGCGATTAATTGCACATATTTATATTCCATTTCCAATATAATTAATTGTATGTATTTTATATACGAGAAATTATGCCTAATTCCACTTAAGTAAAGTGTAAGTCACATCAAGGAAACGCGACTGTGGGATATGTATGTGTATAAACGTATACCTTACGAAATATGTAATATATCTTCGTTGTAGAGAATAAAATATAATTAAAATGTATATAACTGAAAAATAACTCAACATTCTTTTTCAGACTAACTTTATTTCGATATTTTTAAACAATACCTAAAAAATGAGAAAATTCCATCCATTTTTATAAAAGATTCCGTTTAAAAAAAGAAAGTAAATACATACAAATTCACTTTACAAATGTATGTCTGAATGAAAAAATAGAAAATCATCATAGAAAATCAGATTTATTAAACGGATTTTTTCTCATTCTTCTCTAATTTTTTCTTATTTACATATGTATCGTGTACCATACACTAAGGCTGCGTTCGCTTTGATGCTCTAACCGATATACCTGTATCGGTTTTCTTTAATAAAAAAGAAACTTTTACATGTATTTGTGAGATTAACAAATTGTGCCCATACTTTTGCATTTCAGCACGCCAGCGTATGATTACGCACCGAATCCCGATAAACAATGGATACTTCAAGTTACGCAGAAGATGCAACCCATTCACAAACAGTTCACAGATCTCTTAATGACAAAACGATTGCAAACCTTGCAGAGCGTCGACGCTGCCGTAGATAGGGTACGCATTATGCTTATTATTGTTAACATCCACATAATTCTGTAAAAAGTTTGAAACGTAGAAGGAAATCTAGTTATAGTTATATTATTTCTGAAGATCTATCTTTGACAAAAATATTTAATAAGCGTGTTACGCTTATGATACATAATTTATCTTACGACAGATTTATCAAGAATTGAAGGATCTGGGTGAACTGGATAACACGTATATTATTTATACGTCAGATCACGGATATCACTTAGGGCAGTTCGGACTTATAAAAGGCAAGAGTTTTCCATTCGAGTTCGATGTACGAGTGCCATTCCTTATTAGAGGTCCTGGTATCGAACCTGGATCCATGTAAGTCTCAATTACATATTTAAGTATTTATTGTTATGAAAATTTGATCGGAAAATTAATGGAATTTCGATTTTTTTCAATTGTTTAAATTTTGATTTAAACAATTTTTCTTTGATTTTAAATCGTGAAGAATTCAAATGATAAAAATCTGAATGAATTATGAAAAAGTATGCAGACCTGAAAGAGCGAATCTTAGCAATCTTACAAAATTAAATTGATTCTGCCAGAAAATGTTCTATATCTCTATAAAAAGAATCTTTGAAAATAAAAAGGACATTGTAAAGTATTAATTAAATTTTTAGACTAATTTTAAATTATAATAGATCATAATTAATTAATTAAACTGATAAAAAAACATAAGAAGAGATCATATTCTCTATTTTTCATTATATTTCTATTTGCATTTATATTAAATGTACATGAATTTAGTCAAATAATTGGTCAGATACATATTTAAATTATTTTTTTTTCTTCTGTTAGGTAAATCTTAACTGAAATGAACTTAAAATCTAACAAGAAATAAAATCGTTTCTTGTAAGAACGCTATAATAAAATGTTTGTTTTAATGTCTGTCTAATATCTCCGAGAGTAACTAAGCGTCAATAAATGTCGGGAGATCGTTAAATGTTCTTTATATCAAGTAGTTCTGAAAGTACAACCATATGGCTATAAGAGGTTTATTGGACATATGAAGTTACGGCGAGATCATTATAATGCTGTTATCCGCGAAACTTTTGTGCATCGACTTTCGTTCGCGGAAACTCGTTTAAGAACAAATAAACGTCGGGAAACGCAAGGCCCCGATATCGCATAATAAAACATCCGCATAACGTTGCAGAGTAGACGACATAGTTTTGAACATCGATCTGGCGCCGACGTTTCTGGATATCGCCGGCGTCGAGACGCCGCCACAGATGGATGGTCGTTCCTTCAAGAAACTCTTTCTCAAGTGAGTACATCGGCAGTTTTTCTTGAGGTCGTGCACTTAAATCTACAAGCTCACCATGTCGTTGCACTTTAATATAGCATCTACATGAGTAGACATACATGAAAATCAAATATATAAAATATATTAATCTGCAGAGAATGTATGTACATACTTTAAAATATTTTTCTTCATTTTCTGGCTGATATTACGCAAGATGTGTCATTAGAAATATTTTATGAAATTCCAAAAATTGTTTATTCATATTGAATAGATTTGTAAATTTTGCAGCCATGCCAGTTGTTAAAAAACAAATTGTATTTTATTGAGAATGTTTTTAATGAAATTTTATTTTAACTGAGATTTTTTTTTAGTGAGGTTTTATTTAGAAAATTTAATTATCTTACTTCTTCTTGCTGCTGGTACATAACCGCTTGAATATTGGTACATTGACCTCTTGAGATCTTGATCATTACGGCGCGTTATGTCACACGCATGATTCCCACGATGGATTCTCAATGTAATTTTCAATTGCATGTTGGAGCCTAACGTTCCTAGATAGCCTGCAACTTTAATGCGAATCATGTGACTGGATTTCAATCCATACCGAGCTAAAATTCTGTTTTATAACTTCATTAATTTGTCAAAACTTTCTCGACTCGGTTAGACGAAAGTTACGTTGTTAAAACGCCCTTTTTGCAGCGTGACTTTTTGCAGGCTTTACCTCGTAGCGAGTTAAAATCTCCGTCATATAGCTCCATTAAATTATTATAACAGTAATAATCCCGTTATCGCGCGCGCGAAGCGTAATATTTTTTCCCCCAAAGTAAACCTCCCGCGCCGTATCGATCTCGCTTACGAGTAAAGCCCGTTACAGTAGCAAGCACGGCAGAAGGTCGAAGTTCAAGTGGCCCGACACATTCCTGATCGAGTCCTCCGGCCGCCGTGAGACTCCGGAATCCATCGCTGAATCGAAGGCGCGGGAAGCCAGGAGGCAAAATGCCACCCAGGCCAAGCGGCCGTCGAGCTCGACGCCGGAAGAGGAGGACGACGATGTCGCCGATTCAGACGCGGACGTCGAAACAGAGCATCGATTTATAGAGAATGACACCGGAAGCGATCAGGATATCTCCGACGACGAGGATTTTGAAGACTCGATGATCGACGAGACGAGTGAGTCATCCACTTAAATATAGAGATTTATTCTACTACTATTATCGCGGTGATTATCTCTCGTTTTAATTATATTAATAAGTTCTTTGGCAATATTTTTTGCGCAATGCGTGATTACATTTACAAAAACACTTTTGCGTAGTACGAAAAATTAGATAATCGAGTAAATGAGGCTCTGACGACGGTACAGACATGGATAATCAATTAGATAATTAATTCATTCCATGGGGGCCATTACATTCGTCGGATTATTGAAATTTGCGTGCCAATGAGATTATTCAAATTCATTAAATCGCAAATTATTCCCAATATTAAAATTATAGTTAATGGAAACCGAACGGAAATTATTGCCGATTGATCACTTCATTCTCTCTTTATTTTACGTTTATTGTTTGAAAAATTAGATTAGAAAACGGTTGTACATTTGTAAAATGACTGTTTTAATTCACTCACGAATACATGAATAGGAAGCGTCAGGACAGAGCACGGTGACATTGATCTCATGAGAAATCCGGATAGATAGATCCGTTGGTACGACGACAGGAGCAGATGCTCCGGGCGCAAGGTAGCATGCGTTACATTATAAAACCTTACCGTTACGCCAGATGCTGTGCTTCGCGTATTACGCGTCACACGCGCGTAGGAAACGAGTTCTTTCCCCGGTTAGGTATGCATTAGCATAAATACCCGGTCCTCGGGATCGAGACGGGGCGCATCCCTCCTCCTTTTATCCTCCTCTCGAGATTATCGGAAGAAGGCTTTGTCGCGAGAGTATTTTCGGCGATAAACGTGGTGCCGGTAAAAGCAAAACGTATGCACATGTACGAATATTGATCGGCGACGATGTTCCTCCAAACGTGCAAATCTCGCGATCTCGCGGACGGATTTTTTTTTCCCCTTTTGCTAAAAGGAGGTTTTTCACGGCAAGGGAGACATGCGACGTTCGAATTCTAAGCCCGCTTGATCCCGGCGGGTATTTATTTATTTTTTTTTCCCCCGTTCGTGACAGAGTCCGGCTGCAGTAACATCATCGAGTAATTTCTCCTTGTCATCGCGGACATCAAGCTTCGGGGAAACTGGGTTCTGTTGCTCCAGCATCTGTGTTGCGTCACGTGTAACTTTATGGATACAGTCTGTTTGTATATGAAGTTGTCATGTCGATCCCTCTGCGGCTTCGTGTTTCCCAGATACTATAAATCGCTTCCGCTTCGTATCTGCATTAGAAACCAGCGATTGCATCCTGGCCACGTCGGTTTTCTCGTTGAAGCGACATACAACAGTCACATATATTAATATAAATATTAACAAAGCCATGTATATTCAACGAAAACTTCATGAAATTAAAAAAATATATATATAATATATCTCGTCGAATATCTCTGAAAATATTTCCTATTTTTCAGTTTTACAAACATTTTGTAAATATACCAATCCCCATGTGGAAATTAATCCTGATGGATTGGAAAATAAGTCCTGACGGAAATTAATCTGAAATGGGTTTTTTTATCATGGAATGATCGCGCATTTGTGTTTCAGGCTCAGATCCACATCTCGACAATAGGGTGCATTCGATGCACGCGCCCTTCGCGACGAAGCACGAGCGTCTCGCGGCGGAATGCTCGCGACCGGAAGCGCAGACCGATTGTCTCCCAGGACAGAAGTGGCGATGCGAGAGGGACGGGCACCGCTGGCGACGGCACAAGTGCAGATACGCGGTGCCTCCGCCGCCACAAAGGGTGTCCAAGAAGTGCGCTTGTTTCACCCCCGAAGGCGTGGTCTACACGAGGCTCGACCCCAATGATTACGACGGGCAGAGATTCGGTTTCATGAGGGACCGCCGGCCTGTGGATCCTTACGACGATACGGCGGGATACTTCGCCAAACGAGGTGATTTTACCTAGCATTACTGTTTTGCTTTTTTTCATATATATAATCTATCATAGAAAAAAAAATAGAAATCCTGATAGTAAAGAAAATTTCCTTGATAAATATGAAATCGACTTCTTTATTCTAGCATCTTAAGCAAATTATTCCTCCCTTAAATTATTCAGATAATTTTTACGAAATAAATTAAATTTGAATAAGAACGAATGGATTAAATTAAAATAATTTGATATAGGTAAGCGAGAAGTATCGAACGATATCATATCAGCCGATGAAAATAGTGAGAAATCTGACATTGACTTGGATGAGAGAGACAGGCGCGCGATTGACGAGGAAGATGACGATAATATGATGGAGGAGATAGATATGCTGGCGCAGGAGACGAACGAAAAACGTGAAAAAGTTCTTGAAAGGTACGAAAGTGATTATTAAATATCGCAGAATTCATACGAACTTTTTATCGTGAGGTTTATAAATGACATGCATTTCAGACACAGCAATAACACAAGAATTGAGAACACTGATGAAATTGACGAACTAGACAAATATATTGTCAACTATTTGGATTACGGCTATTCGATAAACGATTTCGATCCCACTTTAGATAAGATTATTAACGGCCGATTAAATCTGAATGACGTAATAAAAAGACATCGGAGGGTACGGAGAAGTGTCACGAAGAAGGATACTATAGAGCACGTCACGAAGATTATGGAAAGCATAGAGGAAGAACTAGATGACTTAAAGGTAATGTTTGACGAAGCGTTGATTTTATATTAGCGCCATTTTTGTGCACATCGAATATAAGAAATTTATCATTTTAGCAAACTCAAGTTCATCACTTATCGTCCGAGATAGGAAAGCCGCCAAAATGTTTGGTTTTACCGGAAGGAGGTGTAAATTGTACCCAAGCTATATATCAGGATCCTAACGAGTGGCGAATATCCAGACGGGAGATCGAGCAGCAAATCCGAAAGATGCGAATACAATTGGAAACGTTGAAAGTAAATTGTATAAATATATATTAATGCGTTAAACAACGATACGACATACGTATAGCTCTTTTAATTAAATTTCGTGACAACGTCCGTATATTTGCAGGAGATTCGCCGGCACTTAATGATCAAACGACCACAGTTTTCCGATAACGAGGGGAAACTTGCTGACGCAGAAGAAACTCGCGGTTCGCACAAAACTCACCATCATCCCCCGAAGGGGCACGCAAGCCGCCATCATAAAAAGCACGATAAAATTGCTCATACCACTGCAGATCTTATCACGAGCACGCCTACGGAGTCTGTTACGAAGATTAATACTGTTCCGGGCGATGAAAAAACGTCGACGACGGAGGAGAAGCTCGAAAAATACAGTACAAGTTCTGTCGAAACTTCTACAACGGAGACCGTCGTCGAAACATCAGCGGCGACAATTCTAACGACGGTCAAACCGAAGAAATCGCCTCGTCGTCAGAAGATTAAGGAGACACCTACGAACAGAACGGAAATCGAAGAGGACAAGCCGCAAAGGCGCAGGAAAACGCATCACCATCGTAGAAACAATACGCTACTTACGAACAGCGTGCACGACGACGTCCCGCGCGTGAATACAACGTACGTCACCAGCGACGCGACATTGTCTACGCAAAATCCTACGACTCGCGACAGACAGAATTACAGTCACAAATTTACGACCGTTCCCGCTACCACAGAAGCAAGCACTGGGAGACGAGGAACCCAGTATTCAGAGGTAACCAGGAGTAATAACGACTTAAGCGAGGATCGTACTACGGAATCGATCGCAGTCACTGAATCCGGAACGACTGTAACAATGACCTCGGCACACATGACGGAAGTGTCAAGGACCAATCCGGCTATCGATAAAACTTTCGATCGACCTCAAAATACGTCATCCAACACGTCACCAACGACTACACCGTCAGCGAAGAGACATCCCAAGGTACAAAAGAACAGGACCTCGGGCACTCTTGGACCAGCAAGGATCGACGTTACTATTCTTGAATCTCCCGATAGAAAACATAAACAAGGTATGAATCTCGATTAGTTCTATAAGTTTCTATTTTTAAGAGGGGAGCCTGGTTTAGCACGCTGAAAAATTAGGTGATTTTTGGAATTTTTTTTTTTAGGAAACTATACAATCAATCCTTTTGAACTTTATAGGGTAATTTCTTATACTATTGAACTAATAAAAAATATTTTTTTGCCAGAAAAAAAGTATTTATTATGCAAGTAATAATAACTTTTTATTCGGCGCGTCGGCGAGCGGCGTGCAATGTAGCATCGCTTGTATTTGTCTGAAATAAAAAATCCAAAAAGATTATTGTTTATTAAGAGTTTACGCATTAATTGAAACTATTTTTAAAGGAAATAATGCGAAATTGTGAAAATCGCGCACTTGGAAAAAGAAGGTAGCGATTTTGACAAGAAATTTGTCGTGTTTATTATGCAATAAAAATTATTTAATTAAATAATATTATTATAACCTGTGGTTTAAGTTGTTAGGGAAGTATTTGTGCAGATGTGTGCAAAGGTCCAAGTCAATCGGATGAATAGTTTTTGAGTTATCTTGCACGCCAAACACCATCACCGCCGAATAAATGTTATATTATTACTTGCATAATAAATACTTTTTTCTAGCAAAAAAACATTTTTTTGTTTGTTGAATGAATATAAGAAATTACCCTATTAAGTTCAAAAGGATTGGTTGAATAGTTTCCTTAAAAAAATTCTAAAAATGTCACCTAATTTTTCAGCGTGCTAAAACCAGTCTTTCCCCTTAACGGATATTTTTTACTATATAACCTTTTTTATTTCAGGTATGACCGCAACCAGTAATAACGGTCGTTTGCCGGCGATGCAAAACGATCCGTTAGAAGCGCGACACAAATGCTATTGCGAGCCAGATGTGAAGAAAGATGAGAAGGAGCTCGCTAGGGAAGAGAGGCGAAGATTGAAGGAGGAGCGTTTGAAGAAGAAGGAGCGAAAGCTCAGAAAGAAGGCCAAGCTGGAGAAGGAATGCCTGACGGAAAAAATGAACTGTTTCGAGCACGATAACGATCACTGGCGTACCGCACCTCTGTGGAATGCGGGACCATTTTGCTTTTGCATGAACGCTAATAATAACACGTATTCGTGCATACGTACAATTAACAAGACGCACGATTTCCTTTACTGCGAATTTACCACAGGATTAGTGACGTATTACAATTTAAGAATTGGTATGTACGGAAGGAAATCTCATGAAACGAAGTTCTCACGAAAGCACAATATGATATAATTAATTTTTTGTCAGATCCATTTGAACAATGGAACAGAGTGTCGGATTTGAAACCTCCAGAAAGATCTTACCTACACGATCAATTGGAGCATCTGAAGGGATGTAAAGGTACATGGGATTGTACAGTCGGTAGCGCTAGGGAGGCTATGCCGCAACTGCAGCAACATCAACGATATATTTCGAAAAGAAGATACAATGATGCATTCGGTATGTTTTGTAACGAATTTATTCGTATATTAAGAACTCTAAGAATTTTGCGAATTGTTTTAGCAGATGATAGGTTTGTACCTTCGACGTTACAAATTATACGCGAAAGCGAACTTGGCAGTCCACCTAACAAAAGACGAAAGAAGTTACAAAAGTAGGTATAGCGTTTATTTCTAAATATTTAAAATAGTTGAATCAAATATGAATTTAATGTCAATGTATTATTTTTGTTTCAGTTGGAGTAGACGTAGTAGAAGCTGGCAAAGTAGCTGGCGACATCATCAAGATTCGGTAAATCCCCGAATCTCCCGTCATAATTATAGACATCAATACTGATCTATTTTTTTTACGCTTCAACGATTGCGTGACAAATTGCCTTAGGTATACATTGATTTCGCAATGCATTTAGCAACCTAATTTATTTAGTAATAAATAACGAAGAGACCGAGCTTATATTAGCTGATATTTAAATTAACTCGATCTTGGTCATTCACATTGTGCATGTTTTCAATACATTTTATGGCAACTGTCGGATTTAACTGTAGAAATGTCATGTGCACTGTGTGGAGCATATTTACAAATATATATAAAGTATGTAATTTTTATATAATTTATAAATAAGTTTTATATAATTTGGGACTATGAATAATTAAAGACGTAGTTAGGTAAAGTTTTATTTCGTAAATGTTTTTTTTTTATATGATAATTTATTCGTTCTTAAAGAAAATACTTAGTGAGAAAAATAATTATATTGTGCAAACAACTTGTCTGATTATAACTTAAGATTTTCAATATATGCGTCATGACTAATCGTGACATTTATTTAAAAATTAATAAATTAAATTTGACAATATTATTACTTTCCTCACTGTTAACATGTCGATATCAGCCGATGTCAATATACATTTCTGAAAATTTTCTTATAAAAAGTATTAGAGTATCATTACTGAAATCAGCTGTGTAATAGAAGACTGAACGCACAACGAAAAGAATAACTTTATCTTCCCTTGCCAATTGCAATATTTCTGCAATGTATTATTTGTGTAACAATCAGAAATGTTTATCAAACGCTGCCATTTTTTTTAACTCTCCTATTGCCTTTATATGACAAAATGTACACATATCCTTATGTAATGCACTGCCAAAACATTTATAAGCATATTGGTATATCTCGATATTGATTCTAAAGCATAGATGATCTAAGCTTTAGTTAAATTTTTAAAAATGTACGTAAACTATAAATATCAATGTAATTACAAAATTTTTATTTGACACTTTACTCTTTTAATCTAAATATGTATTATCTAATGATAAATATTATATTTGTCGCCATATTGTTTCAGCACAGCTGTTTTAGTATAGCAGAATGATTATTGGTAGCGCATAATATATACAATATATTAAGGAAAAGTAGAATGCTGGCGTACATTAATAACTAGGAAGAAATAAATATGATAAATACATACATATTTTAACATATATATAGTCCTTATATTGCTGTACAATTGTTTTTTTAATTACTATATTTTGTTCGAGTTTTTTTTGCTGATATTGCAATAGCTTATGAATTTAGATTATTCGTTTTAGATACATAAGAATTGAAGAATTTATATAGTAATAATTAATCTTCCAATCAGCATTCTATCTTTCCTAAAGGACTCTGCATTATATATTAAAATGTTATTCACTTATTTTTATCAGAGAAAATGTAACAAAAGGAAACAATGTATTTAAATCTAGAATTTAGAAGAAAAAACTTTTTGTCGCTGCGATATTATTTTCTTTATATAGAAAACATTAAATTAAAAAACATTTAGTTACCACAAAAACATATATGTGTATGTATATAGATAATGAAATGTAGGTAAATAATTTATACATTAAATTGAAATAGTAGGATGAAAATTTATGGAAAAAATCAATTTGAATATATTTTCTTGCATTTTTTATGTATTAAATTCTGTAATAAAATGTTACTTTTCAGAAAAATGATATATTTAATTCAAATAAGTTTCTACCGGTTTTTTTTAAATTTATACAGAAACATCTCTATCGATAATTCAACAAAATTTAAATATCAATAGGGTCATCTAACTCACTATAAGTTTCAAATAAGTTGTTAACAATATCATAATCCCTGTTTGATTTAACGTTATCTTGCGAATTGCATTTATCTTCGATTTTCCGATTGTAATTAAAACTTGTAAAACGTAACACTTCTGTTTCATAAGCAACTTTACTTCCTGTAGATGAATTACATTCATCTATACTATCCATAGTAGCTTCGAAGTTACGTGAATCATTATTTACGGCATTACATGGAGATTTCTCATTTGTTACCATACCTTCATACTTATGGATATTATCAGAAGATAAATCTTCTGTATCTGATGGACATTCTTTCTTCGTCGAGTCTAGATATTTTGCCCTCTTACTTTCAATATGTTTATCAATGTTTGATTTTTGAACAGATAAGTCTTCTGTATCCGATGGACATTCTTTCTTCGTCGAGTCTAGATATTTTGCCCTCTTACTTTCAATAGGTTCATCAGTGTCTGATTCTTGAGCAGTGCTTGTAGTGTTATAACTATTACTGTTGTTCTCTTGCTCAGGATGTAAGGAAGGTGATGTGTCATTTGCCTTCAAATAATTCAAACGTTGAACGTGAAGACGACAATCTTTACCAGATCCTTGGAAATATATCTAGAAATAAAAACAAAGTAATTTAATCAAAATTATATTTAAAAATTGTAACAAGTTTTATAATATTTGTCATCGTTTATGAATCTTTAAACATGTACCTGCCGTATAGATTGCTTTGCGTTACACAACTTGCACCGCCATTTGCGTGCTTTTTTCACTATATGTACCTGTAAAGATGCGAAAAAAATGAATTATCAAAAATTATAACACAAACTTATTATTAATGATATTTTTTACTTTAAGCTTACTTGATATATTTTGCAAGAATAACAACATAAAATATTCATATCTTGCGGCATTTTTTAAAATATATTGTAATTCGAAAGCTGAGGAAACTGCGCAGAACTTCAAATTTAAAGATAACTATGATCGCCACAGGAAATAATATAATGTAGCCAAATAAAAATGACAAGGTGGAACAGGATATACAAATACACCTAAAAATAAAAATAAAAATTCTTAATTTCTTAAATATATTTTTTAATTTTTTATATATATATAACGTGTTATTAAGTGTACATGTTATATTTTAATCACATTTTGTATAGGAAATACATTATATACGTCAAAAAAAATTAATAAAATCTAGACATTTACTGTGTACTATATCGAGGTGCTACTATATTGAGACGTTTCATACAATTTACTCCAATTCTATTGTGCAATTTGGCAGAGCATCTGCAAGCTCTCTCCTAAGTGAAGCTTTATCTTCTAGATATGGCATACCAGCAAGCTTCAGAGACTTCAGATTTCTGTAAAATATAGAAAAAGAGAATTCAATATTTGAAAGACATACATACCTTTATATAATTTAACAAGAGTATATATTGAAAATAATATTCGTATAGTAATATAAAATACTTACTTGAGATTTTTCAAACTACGCACTCCTTGATCGGTTACACTCTTACAATCTTTGATTTCAAGAGTAGTCAGGGTATCCTTCACTGCTGACAACAATGGTAAAGCAGTGTTATGTATGTAAATACAACGTATGAGTTTTATCTCGTCGATATACCTGCAACCAACTGAATTTCTATAAGTTACATATTATTCGTTATAAATATTACCTAACAACAATACATAAGAATTTATTTGTTGATACGCGATTAGATTTTTTAAACTAAGGACAGTTTACAATTATCTCTTACAATGTAAACACAATAAATATTCGATTTGTTTCTTCGACTGTTTTTATCTATATATGCATATAGTGGAAATTTTAAATTAACATCTAATTCCAAATTACGTCGAATCAAGTATATATTGTGATTATCAAGAATTCTCTATTGCAATATCTCGAATTGCCAAATAATGTTATCATTTGTAACGTACTTACAAGTACATTTAAGACACTAACCAAAATACGGAAATCCTACATGTGTTATTCCAGAGTCTGTAGCGTCTACCGCTTGAATGTAACATCGATTTTCTTCCGATGGTAATTTATTATAATCTTCCAATTGTTTAGAGAAACCTTTCCATCTAACACTGGCACCGTTCTTTAAGAGCCACTCGGCACACGCACGGTCTGGCCCAACCAATTGAATTCTTTCTCGGTCAACCCTCAAAATAATTATTACCTTAATAGTTAAATATTAACAAGTAATATATATCGCAATTATAATACAATTAATTCTGTCAGGTATATATACCTGTTAAATATTATGGTTAACCAATAAAAGAATTCTCTGTTAGGCACTTTTCGGCAACGATTTCTGGTGGCCAGCAGTAGTCTATTTAATATCTACAATACACAACATTCATAATGTAACAAAAATATAATTATACAGCGAATAAATGAGCGTCTGCGTGTTTTACACACTATATCCTGTTATTTCGTGTAGAAAACATATGATTGTCAAAAACATGTGATTTGAGTTAGGCATTTTTGTTCAAGAAATGATATACAACGAAAATGATCATTGATAAATACAAAATGTAATAATTATATCGTACGTGTGGCATCATCGTGCCTTCGATTATTCTAATTAATCTAATTTGCGCGCGACTGTATTCAACATACAAGAAGAACTACCTATTCGCACTACTGATCGACTTGAGAAGCCTGATGAGTGTATGCATTACCCAGAGTGTCTCGAGTGTTACCCGCCGGAAATATCCGTCGATACATAGAACATAGTTCAGCATGCACACTTTGCGGCTCGCGCACATAGAGGCGCTTAATGAACGGCTTCGCAAGCACGTTCAGTCTTCTCTCTGATAGTAAAACCCGACGAACACGGATGTATTCACTCTAAATTACTCTCAAACTTTTCTCCGATAATAGGTTTACTGACCGTCTCGTTTCTGTGAAGGACAAGAAAGTTAAAGAAAAAAAGATGATACAAAATTTCTTTGCAGCTGCACCACGCTTTTTGCATTTTAAATGATGGTACGTTGGCACTTTAATGTTAGAGGGGGAGAAAAAGAAAAGATGAAAAGTATATAAGTTCAGATACAAATCCGTGCGTTTCGTAATACGGGGACAATACACTTTTTTTTTATTAAAATAAATCGAAAGAAAAAAAAACTAAAAAACGTACGACGAATTCGACTGGAAAAATTATGCACGAACGTTAATAATTGTGATATAAAATACCTCAAATATCACAAAAATAATATAATATTCATGTATTATTTAATAGTATATATGATTTATTTATAAGATTAAGAAAAAACTTTTATTTTAAAGTTTAAATATTTCTATGCACTCACACATAATATATTAAAATAATTTCCGTTATCAATTATAATTAATTTTATGCTATTCACAATTAGAGGCTAATTTTTTCAACTCTTCTTCAGAAAAACGATAATAGTGCCACTGTTCCTTAGACGTCAGATCACTCGCTCCAAATATTTTATAAAACTCTTGCGCTGGATTCCACTTGAGAACCACAAAGTCCAGTTTGTGACAGTTATTTTCAATTGCTTCCTATAAAGATTTTCACAATCAGACAAAAAATATGTATATCACATGTGCAATCCTGATTAAACGTATACCTTCGCGACGGCTTTTAGAAGCTTGCTGCCAACGTGTTTCCCTCGAAAATCCGACGTCACATAGATATCTTCTAAATACATAGACTTTCCATGCCAAGTGGAATAAGTGTAGTAAAAGATAGTATATCCAATGACCTTTTCGTTAGACGTTGCCACATTACACAGATATAATGGTTGCCCGTCGAAACCGTCTCTTTCTAAGGCTAAAAAATTTTTCTCGTAAGATGTACATATTGTTTAAAGAGATGCTGATCGTAACAAAATGTAGTACACAACAAATCTCACTGTCATAGTTAATTTCTGGTCCATCAGGCATCTTTTCATAGTCAGCCAGTTCCTGCAAAATGATATTCTTTGTGCAATTCAATGCTTAATTCATTGGTTATCAACAAAAATTACCTGTATAAGCGCTCTGATGGCTTTACAATCCTCACGTCTCGCTCTTCGTATAATTATTTCAGACATTATCAATAGAGAGTAATATGTTCCAGCTTCAAATATATCGCAATAAATGTAATAAATATTCCAACTTGTTGAGAACGTGTTACCACGTGTTACGTACAGGCGAAAGCAATGAGACAACTAATAGATACATGTATTATGTATATACTATATGTATATAAAAGCGCGAATCAGTGCTAATGTATGTTCTATCTTTATCATTCATTAGACGTAAACAAGGATAGCGACTAACAGCTAGCACGCTCCTCGGCGCGGCGCAGTGATTGGCTGTGTTCCAATTCATGCTTTTGGCGCTTATTACAACGCTTACGGCTCATTTTATCCTTGTTGTTATTTATCAAATGTTATACAAGGACGTGACGTAAGCATGATTTCTTCTTGTCGACATGCAGCAAACGAAAGTTGAAAAATAACGATTTTTTGGTTGAACGTTATAAGGATGTTCTGGCTATACAGTCCCAGACAAAAGTTACTAAAATATGAAATTGATGAAATTCTATATGCTTTTATATAGGTTAAGATACACACCATATCGTGTAAAGGACTTATATAATGCCAGTTAATATTATCTATATGATCTATATCCAGATATCTATATGACGTTTGGCACTACAAATAAATGTATTTGTATATTTTATGTATATATTTTGTGACTGTCGGCAAAAAACTTTTGAACGTGAAATTCAAGTCCAAAAGTTTTTTGCCGACAATCACAAAACTTGTAAAATATACAAATATATTTATATTGTAGTGCCAAATATCATATTAACTGGCATTATTTAAGTCCTTTACACGATATGGCGTATCTTCTTATAAAAGCATAGAATAGCATAAAAAAATGTGTCATAGAACTCTAAGAACTGGGTTGAAAATATATAAGTTTCCCGACCGGGGAACATAACCTCCTCCAAAAAAAAAAAGAATATCAATTTCATATTTCAGTAACTTTTGTCTAGGACTGTATAGCCAGACATCCTTAAACAATCGATCGTATTTGTTATTCTTGATAACCAGCCAAAACGGTTGGTAACGTCATCGTTCTTCAATTACTGGGTCCGCTTTAAAGTCATGAAAATTTACCTTTGGCCAACCGTCTTTAATAATATCTAGTCGGCTTACTCTTTAAAGATTTAAATTTGCCATGAATAGTTCGCAAGATTGCTTGATCTCTAATTAATAATCTTCTAAGTTGCCGTGTAGTTACCGACACAGTTAACATCCTTTTCCACTTACCTCCGCAGTCGTCGGATACGTTTGCCGCATCGATTCCCAGAGGGCTCCCCAACGACGCCGTTCCGAATACTCGGCGATCGCCGATCTTGAATTTATATGTGTGCCGGCTGTTTCAAGCAGCATCAAAACAAACTCGCGAGCCTCTCGCCGCGATCACTCTAAGACTTAATATTAAATAATCAGCCGACGTTTAAACAACCAGCGCGATATGAGTCGCAGGAAAAGAGCGAAGGTTCGTATCTTTTACATTTCGTCCGTCGTACTGTTAAGATTCGTCCAGCGATAATGTTTTTTTTATGTTTGCAACTGAGCGCGTCAACGTTGATCTTGATGATAAACCGTCATACGCTGCACGCTTTATCTCTCCCGTGAAATAAACGAGAGGAATGAGTCTTGTTTGACGTATTCCTTGACCATTTGTCGTAATTTTTTTTCATTTGTCATGAGACAATATATTTTTAATTGCGTGCGCACTTGTGGGATTACATGTATCATTAAATGAAATGCTGTAACGCAGCAACTTGCAATGATTTGTTATCTCATTTTCGAACAAACTTTTTATTTATGTGTATGAAGCTTTTTTTTAATCAAATATCTCTTAGATGATGAGTATTTAGTACAGGAAGAGTTTATGCACTATTCGCTTGTAGGTGGAGTACAGAGAAATGGAGGAAAAGTATAATCAGTTGGAAGACGAGAATGCCTCGGACACGTCAGAGAAATCTAAAACTGGTCTCGTTACACCCGAGAAGAAAGCACCTATGGAGGTGAAGAAGGAATCTGAATCTACAGTGCCTGCTCCTGTACCTTCTGCCTCCAAAACCGAGGTGAAGGAGGAAGACGATCAAGACAGCGATCACGAAGATCCACATGGTGAATTTTGTGAATTAGTTATTTAAAGTTGGTGTTAATAGCCATATTAATTTGTATTCATACATTCAGTGAAGGAATTGTTAAATGGATTGGAAGGCGCAGCCTTCCAGAGCCGTCTTCCATTTGATAAAATAACGTCCACCGAAGCTGCTTGTTTTCCCGATATCTCCAGTGGACCACCGCAAACACAGAAAGTGTTCTTACACATTAGGAATAGACTTGTGAGTAGTCAAGCTAATTGATTTCGATTGTTCCTTCTTTAATGCGATTGAATTTTAGCTGCAAATGTGGTTGGAAAATCCAAAGCAACAGTTAATCATCGAAAATGCATTACCGCAAATTGAATCACCTTATAACAGTGATACAGTACTCACTCGTAGGGTTCATGCTTTTTTAGAGCGGCACGGTTTCATAAACTTTGGCGTTTTTAAACGTCTTAAGGTAATTTAAAAATTATATATATATAAAATTTCAGTAATTTTATGATATATAATTAACTTACCGGATTGTTTGTTTGACAACGAAACGCTATCCAGCATCTTTAACTTCAATACATATATTTCAATACAATAAATCGATATTATAATTGTATTATACTATATATATATATATTCTTTTTGTCAGATTAAAGAAATGAATAATTTATATTTATTGGTTACAGCCCTTGCCGACTAAAAAATTAGGTAAAGTCATAGTAATAGGCGCTGGTATCGCTGGATTGGCAGCAGCTCTGCAAATGCAACAATTTGGCTTAGAAGTAATTATATTGGAAGCTCGAGTAAGTTCTTAGTAACTATTTTGTTAATTTATTCTTTAGTTTACTCCTGTGTCGCTAATCGTTATTAATTTATATTTTAGGATCGTGTTGGTGGACGAATCGCTACGTTTCGTAAATCAAATTATATTGCAGATTTGGGAGCTATGGTGGTTACAGGCCTAGGTGGAAATCCTGTAACGACTCTTAGTAAACAAATCAATATGGAACTCCATAAGATACGGCAAAAGTGTCCGTTATACGAAAGTGATGGCCAAACGGTATGTTCGAAATATTTCAATAAAATAATAAACATGAGATTTGACTACCATAGAATATTAAATTTGATATAGTTAACATTAATTATTCTTAGCACTGAAACGATAGTTCTACTACAAATTATGTTAATATGTATTAATTACATGACACAAAGTTTAAAAGTAGTACGTGTTTTATGTCTTTTGCAGGTTCCTAAGGATAAGGACGAAATGGTCGAGCGAGAATTTAACAGATTACTGGAAGCGACCTCTTACCTCTCGCACCAATTGGATTTTAATTACGTAAATAGTGCAGGATCTGGCGGGCAGGGTAATACGCGACCAGTGTCTTTAGGTCAAGCATTAGAATGGGTAATACGTTTACAAGAACAAGGCGTAAAACAACGTCAAGTAGCACATCTGCGTTCTGTACTCTCGTTGCAAGGACGATTAATCACCAATCAGCATAGAGTATGTATAATTGAAAAACTATTATTTATAATGAAATATATGTTGATTTTATGTAAAATTATGATTGTATAATTTAATAATGACTAATTTATGTTGTAGATGATCTCTATTATGGATCGTTTGATGGAACTGAATAAGCAATACAAAGAAATGACAGAAAGTAAATTACAAACTCGAGATATAACGCAGGAATTCGTGCTCCGATCTAAGCTGCGTGATCTCCATAATGCTTGCAAGGTATGTAATAAAAGATACATTTTTATAATAAAATTAAATAAAAATTAATAAAAAAGACGTGTGGTATATTTATTAAATTTCTTTTTTAGGAGTGGGATCAGTTATCAGATCAGCAAAAAGAAATCGAAGCAAAACTACAAGAGTTAGAAGCATCACCTCCTAGGTAAATATACATTTTATATTCTACACAAGCTATTATCAACATTATAAATTATTCAGTTGATATAAATTTTTTTTTTATTACAGCGACGTCTACTTATCATCCAAAGATCGGCAGATACTGGATTGGCATTTTGCAAACTTGGAGTTTGCCAACGCAACATCCTTGTCGAACTTGAGTTTGAAGCACTGGGATCAGGACGATGATTTTGAATTCACTGGAAGTCATCTGACTGGTGAGTCCACTAAAATTGCATGTATAAATCGCGTATTGGATTTCAAAGCTACAATGCTTAAAAATTTGCAAAACGAAAAATTTATTTGCCAAACGCATGATTTTACGTCACTGCGTAATCAATTTTCTTTAACCGTAATTTGCACATTACACAAATATCTGTGTACAGTATCAATTTAATAAACTTGACGAATTAATTATTAATTAGTTGCGGATCATTTAATTAATGATATTATCATTAATTAAATGATTATTTAATTAAATGATTATTTAATTAATGATATGATGTGAATCGAAACGTATGGGAATTTACGAAATTAGATTTACCCATGTTTGCTAAAAGACACACGTCGAAGACCTTCCAAGACGTTTTCTGGAAATTGCTAAAGTAGAAAGATGGTGCAGATAATGAGTGAATTATTCGCGAGTTGCATCTCCTTTATAGGCGTTTGATACTTTCGCTCTTCGCGTCTCCCTATAGTTGACTTTATCAACCTTATTGAAAGCCGATAGCATGAGATTCCGTGTAGATAGTCGCCGTATCCCCCGTCCGATCGAGTACCAGAGTTCTCATTATGTGAAATTATACTATGATCATAGCCCGTAAACCCTTACGAGCTTACTAAAGCGGCGACAGAAAAGCCGCGCCGTTAAAAATATTTTACGACCGTCGATGTAAACGGGGTATTTTTGCGCTTTATATCGGCAAATAAATCGTTGCCAAGTATTTTAATTTTATGAGATGTGTTTATCAAGACGTGCATGGACATCCATGTTCTTTATTATGCATCATACTGGAATTGGCGATATTAATCAAATTTTACATTTTATCGTGTACTTTAACGTATACGTATGTAAAACCAGAATTTGATCTCGTATATGATTTTTGCATGAGATAACTGACTTAAATATTTTATTGACATTGGAAACGTTATATAATCGGGTCTTCCGCGAGGAGAATATATTTATATTTTTTTATTTCTTCACAATTTCCTGTAGTATCTTCGCTATATTGTCCACTTGCTATATTTTTTAAACATATTCGTCCGTGTCGTCCTTGCGAAGAATTCCATTCGCCACGAACGAAGCTAAGAAGATTAACGTAATATTCACGACGGAAATCCGACTATCTCCTTAACGGCCTACGCGCGGTGATGTTCGACGCACAATCGAAACTAGCCGATATCATTCCCGCAGCAACGCGGCTTAACTGTGTCACTACCGCGTTGCAAACTCAACGTATCGGTCGGAGCAAGTGGACGTTGTTCCGAGCACCGATTCAAAGTCGCCCCATCGACGCGAAATGGGGCATAGTGGAGGGAAAGAGAGAGAGATCTGTTCCGATTCCCGGGATGACCGATCCGCACAGTCATTTGGGCTTAGCCTGAACCCACGGATCCGAGCTCAACACACTCGCATATACATTTATACGTCGTATACATTCACGTATACACGTTCCGCAGTGAGTGATAGCGCAATAAAAATTCGAGGAGAAGCAGGGTACAACCTGACTTAAGGATAATATAAGATGGAATAAGAAACGCGAAAATCATATACGTGATTTGATATAGTAACCATCTTGTTTTTAGTTCATTCTTCAGTTTATTCTTGAGTCCACTCTTGTTTTGCTAATCGTTTAGCGAATAGAACAGACTAAAAGAGAATAGACTAAAACAAAGATAGTTCACTATACTGCTGAATATAATTCGCTGCATTAAGTATAATGCATGTGAATCCGGAATAGGATAACACAAGCAGAATAATTTGACAGATTTAGCTCAATTTTTATTTATGTCCCTTAATCGAAAAAGGAAATCTGTTCCGTTCGGAAATTGAGCACGGAATTGCCGAGCATAAACAGATGCATTTTCGATCGTGCGAGAATTGGGAGCGTGGCAAAGGACGACTCGATGACCAAGGGGAACGTGGGCCACGGCCTCCCCGATGACTGACGTGCACCGATGATCATGCTGGTCCTTTGCTGCTGCGGATCCCACCGTTGTTGTCCACCGCGCGCGATTAATGAGATGTAAACAATTTAACGCTAAATTAAACACGACAATAGGGCTCTCTCTTTTTTCCTCTCTCTCTCTTCCTCTCTCTCTCTCCCTTTCTTTCTCTCGCTTTCCGAAGCAGCTAGCCCCTTTGACAGCGCTTCGGGCGCGAGCACCGATCCACCCGATATAATCGGAACGGTCCGAGGTGGACCGTCCGCGGCGCGCTCTTTACGGACCATCGGTTTCTTCTCGGTTTCAAACGAGATCCGCCGACGGATTGGCTGCAATTTTATCGGGAAACGCACCGAAAATAAAACAATACTTTACAGGACGTTTGTCCCGTTCGAATTTTTATAGTCCCATTTCGCTCGGCCGACGCTGCATCGCGCCAGTCTCTATTCTTCTCGATGTCTTACCTAGGTATAGGTATAGGAGCACCATACGTTAGAACGCTCGGAATTTAATAACGCGTATGAAATATCAGTATGATATTGACTCTTTGTAAGTCGTCTCTTTAAAATATCGTTGAAACACTTGAGTTTTTCTTTTAGTATAAGCGCGAATACCGGAACCTCCGCTCTTTTTTTTTTGTCTTTTTTTTTTACGATTCAAGGATGGCGCACGACGCGAATTTATAATTACGGATTACGAAAGGGGGATAAAAATCGTAGGGAATTTATTATAATCTTCTCTGAACGATATAACGCCGTCCGCGAATTGATGTGATTGAGCGAATTCTTTTCCGACATATTGTCATCTCTCGTCTGGCCAGCTGTCGTCTGCACGTACCGCGGAAATGATGTTCGGCAGCAATTTCACATGCACTTTTGATCATATCCGCGACCGGGCGGCGCGAAGTTAAGGCGAGGCAAGAAAACAAAAAGTGCGTGTAAGGCTGCCTCGCGCGAGTTGCTCCTGTTGCACGGAGGAAAAACACAGCGACGTGATCGCGAGGTTCTATTTTACCCCGATCTCCGTGGGTTCCTTCCCAGTCCACGCACGTTCACGCTCCGAGACCGAATACTGCGAATACGTGCCGCTGCGCTCTTTCTTCCCGTACTTTATGCGGTTATTGATCCGACCTATGCAGTCGAAGCTATTCCCGGGGAATATTCGGTGCGCCGAAATTTATGGTTGTATCTCGAAGAGAACGCCGGCCGTCACGGAGGTATCGCCTCGGTCTTCCCGATCGACAATATAACGTAGAGTTACGGGGCTCTGTTCGCCGGCGACGGACCGGCCAACCACGTCGGCGTTCGGATATCCTGCAGCGACGTCGATTTTTCGTCGCCCGTATAGGCAGCTCGACGCTCGTGCACGTGACGCATCAATGCACAGGGTGTTTATGGATTTCCTCCGCCAGTTCATTCCTTTTCAAGGATTTCCCGTGAATTTGAGAATATGTAGTTCTTCCCGTAACGAAAATTCCATTCGACGTCCTTCTTCTTTCGCAAGTCTTCAGATCTTTTGATTAACAGTACCTAGATAATTGAACTTTAAGTATCTATAGAAAGCAAAACTCATTTATAAGATTGATCGTTTGAGCGAAGCGTCATTGTTCAGAAGGTCTCCTTCGTGTCCTTCGATGTTCATCTTCAATTTATTAAACAGTTCAGTAATCGTGCCGTGAACGCCTCGCGACAGGAAGATCAACTTGGCTCGAGGGACACGCCCGCGTAACTCGAAGTCGCGGTGTTCACGAAACACCCTGTATAAGTTGCCTCGGCCGCGAGGAGAGGTCCGTGTACGATCAGGAGCGCGGCAGCGGGTTGAGGGGAGGCACGGGGGGGCCATTTACGACGTATCGAAGACTTCTATACGCCGTTCGTTGACTCCGATCGTCGCATTCCACGCCGTCCGTGTGTCGCTTCCAAAATTATATTGTCGTAAAGCTGACTTCACGCGCGCGGAGTCCCTCCTCCGTCCGCGATCTTCCTCCTCCGTTGTTACGGAGGGCGCAGGAGGGTGGAGGGGAGGGGGGGGGAGTGGAGAGAGGAAGTTACAGCCGGCGTGGTAACATCGGCGCGTGGGGCTCCGGCACCGCGGATGTCCTTCGCCAGGATCTCGCGAGCCCGGGCTGGTCCCACTTCTCTCGCCACACACTCTTACCTCCACCTCGTCCTTTTCGCGCCTCCTCGGCATCTCTCCCCTCGCGCGCGTAATGCGTGCCGTTGCTCGCGATATACCGTACGCGTCGTTAACGCGCGCATATTTTTAAATTAATCGGGATCCGGACACGATAAAGGAGATTACTCGGCCGTAATGCGGCGATGACGCTTCCTCGAGGCGCGAACCGGGCACCGCCGCGCCGTGGGGACACGGCGAAATTCCCCCCGGTGCGCGATCGCGCTAATTGACGCGAGGATAACCCGGCGTGCTTTTATCGGGGCTCGAAGCGATTTTGCGGCGTCCCGCGATAAGGGGAACGCGAAGAAAAATAAGGTAAGAAAAAAGAAATGAAGAAAGTGAGGATAAGAGGAAGGAATGGAGGAGGGAGGGAAGGGGGGAATTTATTATACGAGACGGTAGCTTCGAAATTCATTTCTTATTTTAGAAGAAAAACTTATCGATATTGTATATTATACATGATTGGCCCATGTAAGGCCCTATACGAGGAACGGCGAAATGTTGGTTTATACACTATATATAAGCGACACGGAATATATGTTTTACAATAATGTTTATACAATAGCGTTTATAGAATGTTACGGATAATGCGGTCCTCGTTATAATAGACGCGTTCTATATCTACCCATTAACAGCCGCGTTCTACATTAAGCTGTAATAACATCGTGATTGAGCTTACCATAATTGCGCCGTGTAATCGAGTAACTTTCGACACACCGCCGCGCGCTGTTATTGTTCCCGGCGGTCCTCGTGTCTCGCGGATAGCGCGCTCGTACGTGTTAACAGTCGTGGACGATTTAGCATCAACAATCCGGCTCGAAACGCGCGCGATGATACCGCGGGTGTTTACCGGAAGCGTGCGAGGCGTTCAATGTTT